GGGGGCTGCATTAGGGTAAAACCTTTTTTCCTTTAGAACCACTTTAATTTGAAACACTTAGCAATAAATTACTAATCAGATCTCATCACATTTTACTCTGATGTCACTGTTTATTGTTTGAAATGTAATGTTTACCTCAGTATACCTAGCATTGATATATATTATATTGTAGGCTTGAATTAAATCTATTAGCTTTTCTGTTGGCATGAATAAGTGCTTGTAGTGAGGACCAGCAAATCAGTATTTGCCAACTCTGGTGTACTGAGCCTTATGTACCAAAGAGAAAATCAATCCCTGTTTTATGGGTATTATGTGGCTGTTATTTTAAGTGATACAACTAACTTGAAATAGCTGTACAAGTTAGCTCACAAAATCTGCTATGATTTATTTAGCCTACAATCAAAGAAATCAGAACACAACTGTAAAACAACTATGTAGGGAGAATAAACAGAGGTGTTGTCTGTAGCAACTAGATGTTTGCTGTAACTTTAATTTACTTAAAAAAAACTGAGTTCTTATATTAGTATTTATACTGTTTTCTGTTCAGCAGTTTTATTACATAAGCTGTAAAACTAAGATCTCGAGAGCCCTTAAAATGTTAAAAAATGTATTTTACTTAATTTGTTCATACATGGCAGTAATTCTATTGTCAGTCATATTCAAAAGAATGCAAGTAGCAAAAAACCCACTACAAAATTCAGTAACTATAAGCATGAAGAGCCGCTCTCCATGGCTATTGCAGGGAATTATGGGATCTGCCACAGTCTGGTAAATATCCATGCTGAATCCTGTCAGTTAATAAACTGCTTGTAGAAGCACAAACAAAAAGCTAACACAGAGGTTTGTGACCCATAAGGTTGAGTGACTATGCACCTTAAGGCCGGAACAGTGTGAAACACAAGTAAGCCTGAGAGAAGCTCACAAGCCAATCTCAAATGCCAGCTTTGTTAGCTGGAAGGACAGAAGGAAGGCGAAAAATTACATAGCATGCAGCTCTAACTATGCTTGTTTAGAGGAACTGCTTGCATTTATGAAGTCTTTGGTGCGGAAAGCAGGGTTGCAAATGACTGCATCAGGAGCGACAGTAGGGGCCATTAATTTCCTGTTATGTTTTCCTGTGTTGGGGGCTTTATTAATTTAATTTTACACTGTCGAACAACAGCGAGAGCTGACACTGCCACACTTTCATTTTTTTTTCATCACTTCATTCTGCTTGTCTGACATACAGTTGCAAATTGTGCGGCCCAGCGAAAACAACGGGACTTCTCCTGGTGATATTCATCTAATTCAGGCCTAAATCTCTATTTAACCCCTTACCTGTGGGCTCCGGTACTACTGAACAAACACATGGGATGCCTGTACCACAATGAAGATGAACACTTATCTTTTATAACTCCTCTATTTGTGTCAGGCTGTTGATATATTATCATGCTTACAGCACTCAAGACTGTGTGAAGGTTGAGGATGATGTTCTTATTTCATTTTACTGAAAGTTTTGTTCACATTGGTTGCTATATGCTGCTTCATTGTGCACACTGCACTTTTTGAACTGTAATATTTCCTAGTCAATGGTTTGCAGTTATATCATCATACTATACCAATAATGTAACACTGGTGCATGCTGGGATATGATGCTTTCTGTGTAAGAAAGGGTGACAACTGAAATAAAAGACTACGGATATTACTGGGGAATTCATATTTGATAAGAAATAATTGTATCATACAGTCATTGTAAATTATAACCACACCAGTGTGGCAGAAAAAATGGAAACAATGCATGCTTTCACAGCAAAACAGACATTTTGTTTCTGTGCAAAACCAGTTCTGTACTTAGACTGTAGCCATAAACACAACAATTCTGCGAATAATAAAACATTGCACTGATGAGAGTTGGATAGAATATGCACAATGAACACACACTGTTATACAAAAGAACGTGAATAGCTATAGAAATCCAATAGTAAACTGCCTACCTTACCTTGTCTCATACATAGCTCTGTATAGGAACTCCAGTAATGGGAAGGAGGCCCTGGAAATACATTGATAATAACCTATAAGTAGGAATGAAGTTTGGGTTCTCATGGTTTTGCAGTTTGGTAAAATTCAGAATTTAAAAAAAAGCAGCTACAAATACTGTAACTGCTGACTTTTAATAAAAAGACATTTACCAGCCCAGGGATCCAGCACTGCATTCACCCAGGCTTGTTCTTCGCTGGTCTTTTGGAGATTGGAGCCAAAGTGGGAGTGGGTACCTGTCAAAACTAAGTACCCTCTCCTTAACAAAAAAAAAAAAGAAAACATCCAATAATGGTAGAGGGGGGGAGGAGGAGAAAAAGTGGAAAATTTGGGAAGATGGTAAGTGAAGTTCTGCTTTAAGGTTGAAAATGTGTACCTGAACCCAAAATGCATTTTTGACCTTTTTCATATGGGTCCCTGAGAAACAATAGTAAATTTTTCTTGTATGATCATCAAGTTTGAGAAATATTCTATTTTATTTTTCCTTGCTTGGACCTTTTTTAGTTTTGGGGTGTGTGGCATACACTAGTTGGTGAACAGTTGTTGGAACTGCTCTTTGTAAACAGCATGCGCTAGGATTTCTTTGCAGTAATTAATGTGCATCAAAAGCACCACATATTAACCCTGATATCATCATAGTTTAAGTAAAAGGCACTCCATTCACCTACCAAAAAATGCTACAGTGAAAATGCTAGAATGAGTGAAATGAGTGGCAGAGGGGCTGTCCTTGGCAATAGTAGTGAGGGAGCAGGTTCTACAGGATTTAGCGGTTGTGGGGTCATAGGAACTGGAAGTAGGGCAAGAAGCAGCTAACCGATACAGTCACGGAACTACCAACAGATAGTTTACTGACTGACAGATGGTTCTACACCCACATCATCGCGGACACAGAGCAGCCCGATGTCTGTCAATGTTACTAATGCGCCTTTTCCATCTCCTCTTCTCTGAGGCTCTCCATGAACAATTTTCTGTTCCATAAAACCACATACAGCTTTTACACATTCCCAAATCTGTAATACAAAGAATTTGTGTATCTTTAATGTAGCCCTTGAAGTTGCATGAAAAGGCCCCCTCCCAACTGTATGTTACAATTTTAAAATATGTTGCCATTGGTACATGCTCCCAATGGCACATGGAAATGCCTGGATTTCTATGTCTCTTTTTTTCCAATAGTGTGTTTAGTAGCCTCAAAAAAGTGTCAAATTGAATATCAAGATTTGCTCCCCATAAGGGCTCGGGGGAAAATGAGAACTTTCTGAATTTGGAGGATGTTTTTGCGAAGCTAAGGATTAAAAATGGACGCTTATCCATATCAAAAAGTGGTTTGGGAGCCAGCTATATCTCTGCACTGATTTGATGTCTCTCAGTACCTTTCTGTGCAGCCTTCACATGTACAATACATCTCAGCCATAAGCTCTGACAAAACAATGTCTAACTTGTTGCGTGTAACATAGTACTACCAATCTTCCTTTCTTAGTGTGGCCTACCACTATTTCTTAAGGCTTATAACATGAAAAAGCATAGGGGCCTTTAGGGGAGACAGATTATACACACACAAAAAAGCAAGGGGAAACTATTTATTTTTGCAGTTTTGAGTATAATTAAACATAGTTGTACAAAAAAAAAGACCAAATAACTATATTTAGCAACATAATTCTTGACAATTTTAAAAGGTATCTATGTCTCAATTTTCTTTTAGTTTTGGCTAGAGTAGGGAAGGGTTAGAATCCCTGTTAGTTTTCTCTTTGCTTTCTGCATCCTGTTAGGGAAATTTTACTGCCATTATCTGTCTCAGAGACACAACAGAAAGTAAGATGAAATCTCTACAAAGGGAAAGGAATTCCCCTCCCAGACAGCCGTCACTGAAAAAGCAGATTTATTGAAAGACTTTACCCTTGACTCTTGTTTTGGAATTACAGTATCTTTTAAATTTGGAATTTGCCCTTGTTTGTCCTAGCAATGATGGCCACCAGGACACTATGAGACAGTGAATCTACCAGAAGGGGACACAGAGAGCTATCTTAGATTGTGAGCTTCAAGGAGCAGGGCCCTCCTAACCCTCTTGCATTGAACTGTATTGTTGCTGTATTGTATCCCTTTATATTGTAAAACGCTTAGCAGACTGTTGGCGCTATATAAATCCTGTATAATAATAATATTAAAAAAAACTTGACAGTGGTTCTAACCCTTCCCTATATTATCCAAACCTAAAAAAATTTTGACTACACATATACCTTAACAAATGTTTAAATCAAATTTCAGCACATAAAGAATTTGAAAGCTCTTCTGAAAGGATTTATGAGGGAGGTGTTTGATTAATCATCTAAGGTCAGATCTGACCTCCAGTGGAAGAGGAGAAAACCTGTTTTTCAGTCATAAGACCACTGCTTCTGTCTGCTGTCATCTCCGAACACACACAAAGATGAAGCCCTTATCTTTAATACTCCAACTTCATAATCAGCCCCTTGTAAATCTCTTTCCTGCAATGTATGTCAGAAAGGAATGTTGTTTTACACTTTTCCACTATCCAAATTATTTCAATTTAACTCACTATGGTGAAAAATAGAAATAGTACATCTATGAGCTATTTCCCATTGCTGTATGGTTTTTTAGGTTTGTTTCCTAAGGATCCTGCCAGCATTTTATCTTATGTTGAAGACCCATAAAAGTTTGCTAAGGGGTGCTGTTATTTGGAAAGCATTTTATATATTTCCTTTGCCTTCTGTTTTTTCCTATCTCCTTATCTCTTGCTTTTTTATGTATTTGTCAGTTTTATACATGTATACAGTCCTGCAATACACGTTATTCCATGTGTACTCATGTGACCGTAGCATTTATAGCAAAGCGTAGCTCAGTAGCTTAATATTGTGTGTGTGTCCTGGTCAGGACACTATTTGCATGGAGTTTCCATGTTCTTCCTGTGCTTGCATGGGTTTCCTTAAGGTACTTTGGTTTCCTTCCACACAGGGGCGGACTGACAACTCATGGGGCCCCCGGGCAATAGGGGATCATGGGGCCCCTGCGTCCTTGCCCAAACTCAAAAAGCCTATGAAAAAGGTACCAGGGGCATCTCATGGGGCCCCCTACTGACCCTGGGCCCTCGGGCAGTGCCCGAGTTTCCAAATGGTCAGTCCGCCCCTGCTTCCACATTTCAAAGACATGCTGGTAGGTAATTTTGCTCTGTCTAAAACTAGCCCTAGTATATTGTTCTACTGAGCCTCCCAAGGTGGCTGTGTCATCATCTGCCCCAGCAACAGATATAGAATTTTGAGTCCCCAGTGTTAAATGTTCTATAGAAATATAAAATTAATTTTTTAAAAATTAAATGAACCTGTATCACTTTTGGCTCAGAAAAAAATGTGAGGTGCAGAGTATGGTATTTAAAATTCAGTTATTAGGTTGCACCTGTCCCCTCTGCACATGGAGGCATTTTGTGGTTTTGTGGTTTGGATCTAAAGAATACAACCTATGAATTGACAAGGAATGTATTGTTTATTGGGTACTCTGTGCCTCATACTGTGCTTCCGCTACACATATGCATATTTGACATTTTTAAGTTTTTAGTATCACATATGTTCACAATATTGTATTAATTTTTAAATTATATACAGTGGCTTTTTTGCAAATAACAATATGAACTGACCTGATGCAACACTTTCCTAATATCTCATCCTGTTATGATATTGCAATGCAATTGTATGTGTTGCCACTTTTTGATTCTTTGATTGCATTTGGTCAAGTGTCTATTAAAAGAGACTGTTTCCCTGGACTTTCTTGATTTGATATAGTGTCAGATAAATTATAGAGTCATAAATACAGGTGCATTGATACGAAGAGCAGTTAATACACAAGAATGGAAAACTACAGACAGGTTTAGAGTCTCCTGTAGCGTTCTCTTCAAGAGGGAACACGAGCCACAGTCAGTCTACATCTCTGAAAAGGTTGGGATTTCTGAGGCCGCCTTCCAGTGCTGTCAAGGTCACCAGGATTAGGTTCACCGAACGGTCAGGGCGGTTTGAGTTACTGGCACCGCCTGCTGATTCCTTTGGTGATTTTTATCCATCTCTTACAGTGTGTGGGATGGGAAGATAACTCACCTAAGTCAGGGGATCTCTAAACTTCAACAGCATATTCAGGAATGTGGGAGGGTCTCCCTGCCCCCCTTCTTCCCTCATCTAAATAGCAGGTGAGTTTTTATTACCAGTAGTAATAAGACAATACAGCTCTTTCTATCTCACAGAGTGTCCCTTCCTGTAAGCAACAACAAACAAGAAAAACAATAATCTCCTGTACTTTATTAAGGTTAGAGCCTAGAATGCGTTTAGTGCTTTCTCTTTGGTGAATGTACTGCACAAGTTGCTAAGGGCACTGTGAGCCCAAATAATTAAGCCTTGCAGGGGAGGGATAATAATTTTGGGCTTTGATGAGTGATACGTCTGTGATGCCAGCGATCCTGGGAACGGACAGATTTCCTTTTGGTAAGTGAGACTCTAGTCTAATGACTAGGCCTTGACAAGGCCAAGGGAAACTCACAGATCCCATGGGCTCTGTTTACAAAGCTTCTGAAAAGTTGCATCTAGACCATTAAAGTTTTATCAAGTGTTAATCAAGTATCTGATACACGCTGCATTGCCAGGTTTAATAATGCTGTTTTAAAAGCTTGGAAAAGCACTATACCAGAAGCTTAGTGCTACACTCATTTAATAGTCTCAACTGCCATCCTTACTACAACGTTTGTAGATACAAGAAAGGTGTTGTGTAAACTAGAAAGATCTAGGTATTAATTTCTATTAGAAACAATAACTGGATTGGTTTTCTCAAAATGCGGCATCATTGACTTTTGAAGCAGCTAGATAATCATGCTTAGGACAAGTATTATGATCATCTTCACATTCCAACATACTGGCAATACATCCTAGATGAAAGCTGAGCATCAGGGAATAATATAGCACTGGAAATATGCATACACACGCTCTTAAGACCAAGAAGTAAGCTATAAAAAACAATGCCAATTCAATCATATTGGAGAGCAACTTGGAATTTGATGAACATTTCCAACTGAGCCAATCCTTCCAAACTTCCATTTTTTTCTGCTGAATATTTCATATAACATATGCTAAGTCTTGTGTATGAAAGGGATTATAGAACTCTCAGCAAAAAAAAATGGTTACTTTAAAAATCCCAAACCATCATAAATATCATAAAACTCCTCCATTAGACCAGCAATAGCTAAAACCGAGAGCCACATTATTATCAGAAAAGACTCGTAGCCAAGATGTTTAAATATATATAAATATATATATATATATATATATATATATATAATGTCACACAAACCTAAAAATGGGCGGAATATTGGCACCCTTTCACAACTATATAAAATACTGAACTGTAATTGTGAGCAGGAAGTTGGGGTGATACTGGTTCATATTAACTAGATACAGCATATTATTATCTGCCACTGGTTTCCGAACCTACACAGGGAGGTAATAGCAGACTGCCATGCACATAGCTGTTCAGGTAATTGGTTTATATATCTAGAAGCTGTAGTAGCAATCTCAGCACAGACAGACTAGCAGTAAAAGCCAGTTCCTTAAGGCGATTTCCTTTGTCTTTCAATTGCTTGCACATCCATGAGAGATACAGGGGAAGAACGAGAGAGAAAGTGAGAGAGGGTAAGATGGAGAGAGAAGGAAAATGTTAATTTGTAAATTAATAGCTTTTCTCAGCGGAATAGTAAATTCAAATGTCACCTAACATGACACTCTAGCTGGCCTGCTATAGAAGCAGTGACAAGATACCACACTTTTTTCTACCCCCACCCCAAACCCTTCATAAGACACAGGAGATGGACGATGTGCCAGGCTTTAAATCCACATATGGATAAAATATGTTTGAAGCAAGCAATGGCCAGCAACATCATCAAACTTGAATAATGTTACCAGGAAGGCAAATAGGCCAAAAGCAATGAGTCTTTAGAATGTCAGAATGTGTACCGCATGGCAAAGAAAGTGTTAAATGGGCTGCTCGGTAAGAAGAGGCAATTCTGTAAGACCGTAAAGACAAAAGGGTGGCATAGGGAGAAGGATTGTGCCAGTGCCAGGGAGACAGACGGACAGTGAGAATGCCAGAGGGACAGACAGCTGCTGCAAGTGTCACAGACATAAATACTGAGGGATAAAAACATTTAGACATATGAGAGTGTGTGCTAAATTGTGTGTAAATAATTGTTCTTTTTTTTTTTTGTAGCACTGGGGGTTCAGAACTTCTATTTCCATTTCACAGGTTTTCAAATGAATCTCACTGTTCTGAGTTGGGAGGTTCTCGAAGAAGGCACTAGAACAAGGATATATCATCAATCGCAGCTCTTGCTATCATTGTAGTCAGCAAAATGGCTGACAGTGCATATTTGCTTTTAAAATCAGTTTAATGATTCAACTAGGCGGTTATAATTAACTAGCTCTGTACTGAGGAGGTTCACACTATTCATACAGGCTTGGCAAAGGCGTATATTTTTGACATTCTACTTAATAGTTTTAAAAAAATATAGAGCGGCCTGTGGCTCACAAGGTCATCTTGGCCTGCCTGGACTTATTTATCAACTGTGTGAATGAGTCTTCCTGGAACATTATGACTCTGTACTTTTGATTACATATAATAATTACTTATCATACTCACTTGCTATATAGTTGTGGTTTATCTGCAACTGACAGGTACATGCTTTTCCTTTATTAATAATACATGAATGCAATGTTTTATGTAAGTACTATTCATTTCTTCTTGTCTTCATATTTCTTACACCACAATTATTGAAAACTTTAGATGATTAGCTGTACACAGGGGCGGACTGACAACTCATGGAACACCCGGGCAATAGGGGATCATGGGGCCCCTGTGTCCTTGCCCAAACTCAAAAAAGCCTATGAAAAAGGTACCAGGGGTATCTCATGGGGCCCCCTACTGACCCCGGGCCCTCGGGCAGTGCCCAAGTCTCCAAATGGTCAGTCTGCCCCTGGCTATACACATGTACACAAGCAGCAATTGAGTCTTAGTAGAGAATTCAAGTTACAATACACCACTGAAACCAAGATAAGAGCAAAGGTAAATTGAGATTTATAGTTTCAAAAGGTGATACTTATAAAAAGAAGATGAGGCATTCCCATCATAAAGCTACATTTTTAGAAGAGTTAGTGCATAGTTGAAATCAAGTTATGTGTCTGTCTGTCAATGGGTGAAGGGGAAACGGTGGATGTCTCCAAATGTCCCAAGAAAGGCTTCAGAGAGCTGTGTTGCCTTTAGTAACTACCCTAAACCAATTGAACGTACTTGTGCATGCCAGCTGCCCTAATAATCAAGCATTAATGTATGTTAAGTATTGTATGTTTGATGTATTTTTAGTATTATCCATTAAAAGGTAGCTATTCCCTAGGGGTGGGGGTAGAAAGTCAGAATTCTCTCCAAGAAATGGAAAAGAAGATCTCTGCCGATGCTTGAATCAGCTGCTCGAGTACTGCGACCCGTCGTGATCCTTGCCTGAAGGTATGAGCAGCACACATGCAATATTATGATCCTATATGTTGATCGGAGTAACAGAAAGTGTCAGGCCCAATTACAGAGGGACTTTCCATTAGGTAAAAAAAATCACCAATGTGATCACCAGCACCATGATTACTGAGGTACTCATTATTGAGCTATAGACATTCAAAAATGGCCTGCAAATCACAATATATATATTGGGAGTCTGCACCCATCCTCAGACATATGTACAGTACCTTTGAAAGTATAATGCTTTTGTATGTATTTCTGTATGCTCAGGAATAAACCAGTATCATAAAAAAAAAACTGTAATTCTTTTTAGTCAGTAAATATTAAAATATTATATGAATATTTTATGCTTGTCAAGAGCAGTTACTAGAGGACACGCTAAACATTTCTCACTAATGAATAGGTTGTGAGCAAGCATATAGGTGTAAATTAATATTGGAGGGGAATGTAAGTGTAAAGCACAGTACTTACATTTAAATACCATAATTTTACATGAGGTGATCATGCCCCCATGGCTGCCTGTCATTCGGCGAGTGACATGTCCCGTGGAGAGACACTCGCCCAATGACAGGTAGACATAGAGACATAGGGGCGGGGTCACCTGGTGAAGTCACTAGGTGACTCTGCTCCTATGTTTACCTTTCATTCGGTGTGTGTGTCTGGATGGAACACATTGTGTTTGGCAGGCAGCGTGGGGGGGTTCGTGCATGTCAGCATTTACATCAAATCTACTTTAATTTTTTTTCTACTTTTTTTGGGTGAATGAATACTATGTACCTCATACTCATTCACATGGGGGGCAGGATATGGGAGCCCCCCCTTGTGGCCTGGTATGGTTTGGGGGCGAGGTGCTCGCTCATCCCCACCCTTTCCTGGTCTGCCAGGCTGCATGCTTGGATATGGATTTTGTATGAATTTTGGGGGCCCCACACTGGTTTTTAAAAATTTTTTTAAACCAGCACCTCTTTTTGCTTTCTGCTGACAGCGGGGAATCCCACTGACAGCAGATGAATCATGGCTGCTCCTTAACAACCACAGCTATTCACAATGAATTTGGACCATTATCAAAGGAATTTGAAAATGATGCCATCCAAATAAAACGAATGAACAAATGTACTAGTTAATTTTTTGTTATAACATTTTTGGGATTCATTGCCATACGTTTCTATGTCTATGTGGAAATTCAGATGCATCCGAAAATGAAATTTTCATCTGAAAAACAAATCTAAACAAACTGAAGTGCATATGTCTACTTAGAAGTTCTGTGAGACTCCTATAGAAAATAACCATCTCTGGTGTACCATTAACCACTGAAAAGCAGGAACTATGCAGGTTTACTAGAAGTAAAACCCAGTAATATGTATAGTGTAGACCTGCTGCAGTGCCTGATTCCATTCTCACCTGCATCTTCTCGGAAATTTGTAGGTAACATTACAGTACAAAATACATTTTTCCTTGGCCTAGTTAATAACCATAAAGTTGGCAGTGGAGGGCTGCCAGTTGCGTACTACTGTTTTAAGGTATGCATCCAAAAGTGATTTGATCTAAGGAGACCTATCATTAAAATTCACAGCAATCAACATCATCAGTCTATGTATACAGTTCATTCACATTATTTCTAAGACAATATTTAATGTTTCTTATAGTATACTGTCCCCATGAGGAGGTATTCACAAAGAGACATGCAGATTTTAATATTTCCAAAGGTATGATGAGGTGGGATTAAAGTGGCAAACTAGAGGAACTCTAACAGGAACATCAGTGAGCTACAAAATGTGTAGGCCAGAGGAGGTAAAAAGTACAGTTTTTTATTTCATCTCCAATAGGATAAAACTGTTTATGCCAAATGTGGAAAAATGTGCCAGGGAGACGTACAATGACACTGCCAGGGAAGAAGTGCCTGATGGAGCCAGACACCTACAAGCGTAGCCATAGCTATTAGAGCGTAATGCCAGTGACAAAATGTATTGGCAGCTATATTTCACACATAAGAAAAGTCACAAGTGTATTATAGAGCCTTTATAGGAGATATTTTAGAAGCAGCCTAAAAATAAGGTGCTTTGAGGTAGTCAAACCTTAAAGAGACACTGACAGTTTGTCCATTTAGGACAGAATGATAGTATCTGTGAAAAGCCTCCTTCCACCCCCACCCCATGACTCACTGATACTCACTTTTGCAGTGATCCCTCACTACTCCTTCCTCTATTGCAACCTAAGGAAACATAACCCCCTTTGTCATGTGGCAAGGCTTAGACCTAACAATTTCCTGCTAGATCTGAGGACTGACACAGGGAGATGGTCATATGCTCCCCAATTCAAGGAAGTAATGTGTATTTTTTTGCTGTCTGAGCTAGAGGCAGGGGCAATATGGTATAGTTGGAGAGGTAAATATTAGGGGGTCAGGAGGGGGTAGTTTTACAGACATTGTTACTTCGCCCTGAAAGTAAGGGCAAAGAGACAGTGCCTCTTTAAAGTTAAGCTGTGGGTACAAAAACCTGCAAATTTTCTATTGCTGGCTTGCTTTTTAAACGTGCATACCCCAGGGCTCTTTTCTTGAACAAGCAAAAAGCCAATGATGATTGGTTGCTTGAACAGGATGGACTTTTTTCAACCAGATTAACTATGTAACTATGCTTATTCCAGATCATGAAGTCTTTTAATAGTGAAAACAATATCAGGATGACAGCCAGAATCTGCACCTTTTAAATGTAATTCAGCAATGGCAGCTCACATATTTTTGTCCTCACCAGTTCAATTTAAAGGCCTACATATAACAACACATTAAATCAGATGCTTATTTCCTCTTCCCAGCATGCAGCTCTCTCCTTTAGTTCGTTCTCAATGGTCTCAGGCTGTTCATGGCATAGATCGTTATGGTGTATTATACACAGCTGAGAAGAGGGTCAGTTTTGCAGCTTGTTCACATGTGCTGGTCAAAAAGATCTACAGTATATAAAGAGTGGTTTCAGTGTGATGATAAGGTATCCTTGGAGGTCACCTGTCTCTGCACTCCACTGTATACAAAGTGCACCCAGACTGTTGCATGCATAGTTTTGGAATCATACAGTCATATTGTATTGTATGTAACCATAGGCATTTGAGCTGGACCATTAAATAAAATAACCAGATGTATGTGCAGTCATCTTTCTGTGTTTCCTTGTACTAAACCTGCCAGATGTGAAGGAACCTGTATGATGGTTACTGTATAATGAATTAAAGCTTTGATTCAAGCTGTTGTATTAAAAGAGATTTCTAGTTTAACTTGAAATCCTCTATCCACCTTTGGATGCTGCATAGAGGGATCTAATACCTCCCACAGCTCTGGGTTTTTACTGGTACTGGGAATTATAACTGAAACATCAATTTCTATATTAAAACATTTTATCCCCATAGTAAGACTTCGGTCCACCAAGTAAATGTAAACCTGAGTGGAATCATGGTCTCGTTGAAAAAGGACTGTTGGGGGAGGGAGTTGATAGTATATGGCAGAGTTACCAGTAGATAGGAATAGCAACCTAAGCTGGAACTTCCCTATAACAAGAGATCTTTAATACTGCATGATAGGTGCTCTTTAAATATTGTAAACCAGTACAACTAATTACCAGATCTTTAACAGGCCTACAGTATTTGAAAAGCTCTGAAAAAGCCTGTTGTCCAAATCTGAAGCATCAGTTCCAGTTGACTGAAACTGCATTATAAACTATGCTTATTTATCTCTAGTGGAACTAAGGAGATTTCAGAAATGTCTAGGGGGTTAAACTTACTGAATATGTTGCACAAAGACAGTATATAATTTTAGCCACACTATAAAAATTGAAAACCAGAATGTAAAAATAAAACCTCATAGCCTGGCTCTGTGTAACCTGTCAACACAGCAAAAATCTAACAAATCTATAAAGAGGAAAAAAATTGCCTGAAATGATGCTGCTTCAGTCAGTTATAATAACTCCAACAATATAGCAAGCTGGTTGTAAATCCAAGAATAAGGCATAAAACCCGAAACATCATGAAAATAATAATAAATTTGTTACACGGCCCAGCCAGAGCATGCCACCAAATTCTCATTTTAACCCAGTCGCTGTCGAACAATCATTTCCCTCTAGAATGTGATTAAATGCCGTTTATTTAAGATATCTCCCTGTGCTTGTTTCTGTTTAACAGTGGAATCTGGGAAAATGTACAAAGGAGAATTACTTGGCTGATTTCCCTTAACTCTTTCAATAAACAAGGGAGAATAGAAGCGTTCAGACCTCTGTTTCTCGCATATAGCTGGTGCTGTGAATCACTCTGCTGCCTTCACCCAACCAGAGAGTTTGGCTACATCATCCTGACACATAATTATCTCCACTCTTCTTAATCATCCGTGCCGCTGCAACTGTGTAATGAAAGCAGCAACAAAGATGACAGAGTAGAGGAGGACTTCTCACCTTATATAGGATGGCCAAACAGCATTTGTACTACCGACAATGCATCTATATTCACAGAGATTTATACATTTTTGCTTGGAGTCCTGATGGAAAATAAATAAACAAAGGATTGCCCTCACTTTGTTTAGTTCTGGCTTGGATCTCATGTTTTATATACTGCACCACAAATGTTTAACCCCTGCGCCATGTCCACACAAACTGTGCTCATTTGCAGACCATTGAGGCTAGGCTGTGCTATGGGGCAGCCATTGTGAATATATTACTTGCACATCAGTAATCTTTGTGACTGTTAGCCAGTGATGGAGATTTAGGATAAATTTTCACAGTAATAGTCTAGTGTATTGTAACCTGGGACTGTGGACTGGAGCAGATCCTGAAACATATTGTGAGCAAACAAAGCTTCTGCGATATATGATGTAACATATGAGGAAACATAATATAATACATAAAAAGATATATTTTGCTATGTTAAAGTAATTTCATTGTAAGTATGTCCTTCCATGTGTAGTTTAAACCTATTTTTTCAATGGTTCAAGAGTGCATCATATTGTCATTCCCTCTCTATCATAGCCAAATTATAAACTGAACTGTGGTTTTAAACTGAACTAACTTTAGGTGAAAATCCCCCAAGCATTTCCTCTCCTCATTGCAGACACAGCTTTTCTAAGTCATGTGATGGAATAATTGATTCTTCAAATCCACTGCAATAGGCACAGTAGGAAGAGAACACCAGAGGAAGTTTATAGCACTGGATATGCACAAAGCTGAGTTGTCATTTGATCAAATCTTTGTTCAAAACAGGTAGTACTTCGATAGGCAAAAACTGACACAGTTGCTGATTTTGTCCATTTGTAACAAGCCTCGGACACAAACTCAATGGCCTATTCTACAAATTTCATCCCTTTCCAGGTCTTCAACTGTTATTTTATCGAGTACCATGCCTAACCTGGTAAATCAATTAACTCAGCACCGCTGCCAGATTGGCAGTCTGGCAATTCTGGCATTTGTGAGAAGGACCAGTAGATCTGTGGGCTGGTGAAAGCTCCTGTGGAATGCTTGACCTTAGCAAAACCTCCTGTTTAGACAATTTTTTAAGAGTCACAGACCCACAACAGACCTGAAACAGAACTGCAGTACAGGACAAAATTTAGTTATGTATAAAATAAATGGGCTGGTGCACTTCATGTACCTTGGCTGCTTTTAAGTATTCCAAGTCTGTCCCTGTTCAACATGTGTGCACGATGGCTTGTATCCATATTGCCTGTGTGCAGAAAAAAACCCAATCTTTCGCTTAGAGCTGTAACATCCAAATTACCTACACAATGCATAATGAAAAATATATATCTTTAGTTATGGATACAACTTCTTCCCACTCACTACATAATTTATAATGACTTTCTGGATGATCTTTTTCTGTACCATATCACACTCCCTGCTACATACCCCTGTCTTCTTTCTCTAGTTCACCTTATCTCTATTCCTCCAGCCTGTGCAAACTGCACCTTGTTTATTATAACATTTTGAAAATGTCAATAAAACAATACTGTGAAAAAACATCAATATCCATCAACATTATTCCATAAAAGCCCTCAATGCCTCTAATAATCAGTTAAAACAGCATAATGGTTTGCAAGTCACTTCAGAATGGAGGTCATTCATAATGGTCAAGAGCAGCTCAGTATAAAAGCATCCTCAAAACACTCCTAAATTTGAGTAAGTACTTTTGGATATTAAGGTTAATATAAAGGCAATATAGGTATGCAGAAAAATAGCTTGAACAGGTGGTCAGTTCAGACTGGATAAACTAAAACAGTACTTTATTTCCACCAGAACCATGATATGTTCTAATACAAGCTTCTATTTTAAGATTTGTTAACAAGAGGTGCCTTTATGATCATAAGAGTATTAAGAATGAAAAAAGGAATATATATATATATATATATATATATATATATATATACATATCATCAGCTGTTGGCCTCTTATAAGTGACCTCAGATCAATGTAGCCCAATCCATAACATAGCATCTACTACTCTTTTGATCAGTTACAAAATGCACAACTTACATACTGTAACTTCCATAGAAATCACCAAGACTACATTAGCATGCAAAAAAGTTGACTGTCCTTGTAAACAAACCAAAAAAATGGTAAGAACTTACGTTGAAACATCTACAATGTTAAATGATTTTTGGCAATCTACACGGCTGGTCTATAAATGCCTTTTAAAAACACATTGGACACTCTACAAACTGCAAATAATGTTGCTGTAAAATAGGGTTGCTTTACAAAATAACTCTGTTTTAATATTAAAAAGTATATACATAAGTATAAATCTGCAGTACTAACAGTGTAGCAATAGTGGCTGTGCTTTAGGAGCAGAAGGGCAGTGTATAAAGGCTACAACTGATCTGTTTGTTATTAGAGCAGCTGGTATGCATGGGCTTGAAATTAGACCCTATTTGTAAGAGATACAGAATAAAGATCTCTCTTTTTCCCTACCTTCATCGCGTTTCCTTTTTTCGCCATTTGAACGAGGTATACCCAGGATCCCATTTATGGAATAAGAGCCTACGGGATCATTGGAGGCGCTGGACACAGGTGGAGATGCTGTACTGGGAACTGAACAAAATGAGAAAGGAGATGTAAGCTTGTGAGGAGATATCTACTGTGGATTCCTCCTTATGAATCAAAATGTAAGGAAAACTCTTCTGTGAAACCCTTATAGGAGTTACTAACACCATGCAAAAGTGTAGATGTCATGCCTACTCAGAGAAGGCAACCGTTATAGGACATCAGCCAGCATTTACCATGTGATTGACATTGTGCCACTGATAACCTGATCACCTAGGTTGTCTACAAAATGGCCTCTTTGATAGCATGTCTAATCGATGAAAGCATTCCCTAGTGGCTTATTCAAAACATGTTTGCTTTTACTGTCTATACAGAATACATATAGATAGAACAAGTATCTATTCAAACACAATGTAGTCTTTTAATTGTTTAAATGCATTTATGAAAAAATGAAACGTGGTATTTTCCAACATTAATGTACATTCATGAAATAGACTAGAAGTAGAATAAAATCCATTTGGTTTGGTTATTGCACTTTGCAAATCATCAATGATCATGGCACTACCATACTAAAGTGTATGTAAACCCTAACAATGAATTTTTCTTATTTGTTCCCTTGCGTCTGTTTATTATACCAGTGGAAGCACTTTGTTATATCTGTTTGATAAGGGCAAAAAAACCTGTTGATCATGTTAAAAATTCAGAACTGGCCCCTGACCTCTGCAGATTTTCTGTGTTATCTCAAAAAGACCTCCTAGTTTTCATCAGGGATTACAGAATAATTAATGTTAATACTGTAGAAATCTGGGAGTGTTTGAGTAGTTTAGCAATAGAAACTGGGCAGGGTTTTTTTAATTTGCCTTGAGATAAGCTTTAATGTTACCAACAATGTATGGAGAATATGAGAGACTATGTAAGTATTTATCTATCTATCTATCTATCTATCTATCTATCTATCTATCTATCTATCTTTCTATCTATATATATCACTTGGCCCTTGCATATTGTCAGAAGTATGAAAAAAATAATTAAAATTTCAAAGACATATAGGTAATGATTACATAACATACATTTGGCACTGTATAACAGCTTACATTAGTATTTTCTGCTATTTTGATAGTAGAACATTTTATTGCAATTTTGTTTTAACCACTTCCTGTCCGGACACTTTTACCCCCTTCCTGTCCAGGGCAATTTTCAGCTTTCAGCGCTATCACACTTTGAATGACAATTGCGCGGTCATGCAATATTGTACCCATATGAATTTTTTACCATTTTTTTGAGACAGATAAAGCTTTATTTTGGTGGTATTTATTCACCGCTGGGATTTTAATTTTTTTTACTATGTAAATGAAAATGTCCAAAAATTTTGAAAAAAAGTGTTTTTTTTAATAAAATTTTGCAAATAAATAATATTTCATCCTAAATCTTGGCCAAAATTTATTCCGTTATTTTTTTAGTAAAAAAAAAAAATCCAAATTAGTTTATAACCAAAAATTATAATTTTTAAACATTTTTTTTTAGATTTTTATTTTATTTTTTTTATTATTATTATTTTTATTTTTATTTTTTTACATACTGTCACCCTAGTAGTACAGTGTCACCATGGTGACACTGTACTACTTGTGGGGGGTGATGAAGATTTTTTTTTTTACACTGATTTTTTACACTGACCCATATAGGATGTAAAAGCAATCATTTCTCTTTCTCTCTGTCTGCATTCTTGCAGTCATTGAGAAATACTGAGTGAGCTGTGATTGGTCACAGCTTGTCACATGGTACAAGGGTGTTGTGAATAGCCTTGTACCATGTGACCTCTGTGATCATTCACAGATTTCACACGTAGTAAGCAATGATGTCACAAGTGACATCTTGCTTACTACTTTGCATGTGATCACTGATTCGCCAATCAGTGATCACATGACCGGGACCTCGTACAGAGGTCCCGTCCGACGATCGGTGTTTCACTGTGTCCGGAGAACACAGCGGACACCGGATCGCGGTGGTGCGCGCTCCTAGGGAGCGCGCACAGCTAGAAAAGGCGGGTGCCGTTTAGGAACGGCAACCCGCCCCTGGACTGCCACCGCCCTGCCGTTTATAAACAGCAGGCGGACGGCAAGAGGTTAATATTGTTTTTTGCTGTTAAATTCTCTAACAGGAGATGCAAAGCATGTGACATCCCTAGAGCTAAAGCCATATAATTGTTTTCAGGAAGGAACATCTTATCTCTTACATAGTTCATAGAAACTATGATTTTCAGATCTGGCTAACAAAACATCAATCTAAAACACATTTAACATAATCAATGGTTGTTCAGTGGTAGGTTAACCATAACCCTTTTCCCCTATCTTTTTTGAAAGACATACTTTAAAACACACAAAACACTTTCGAAACTCCCTAGGAACTAAAGGCTGGATGTTAACAGCAAATCTTTTCTAAGCCCAAACAAATGATACGTTAAATTGTTAGGCCATATGGGGCAACTGAGCTTGATCTACCATCTAGTAGACATTTGGTAAAAAAAAGATAGTGTTCTCCATGACAACCAATCAGCTGTGCTGGTATGTCTTTGTTTTTAGCTTACATTGAGGAAACAAACAAAACATTTAAGTAGTTATAAAAAGAGTCAAGCAGAATGCCTATTTTTTCTATACTAGTTTTTGTATACTGTACATTACTTTTGCAAAATAGAAAGTTGACAAATACAACTGAAGCACGTTCATTTTCAAGGTATTATTTAAAAATCAGAATCAGATGTGGTATGTAATATATTAAGGATCAATATATCTTATACAGTAAGTGTATTTCAATAAGTTTGGCAATTTTATGTATTTAGCTTTTGCCTTTTAGAAAGTGTGTATAATCACGATTATAATATAATAAGTGTGATGATAGAAATGAGTGAGATACGGTGACTGAATTACCGATAGTGTGCCCTGGTGCGCTTACTGGCGTTCCAGATCCGTCTGGTGTCGGGTGAAATGGCTGCTGTACTTTTGTTCGGATAATTCTAGAAGAGAAGGAGAACAAGCAAGATTTTATTATGCCCTCTTCCAGGAAATGTAAAAACACAGCATACATGACTTGCCCTACAACTAAAAAGTCTGTCTATGGATGTTAACTCTTCTACCCGCGAAAAGATTTTGAATAGATTATTACGCAACAGATTTGATGAAAATGAGCACCGGTGACAAGTGTTGGTCTTTAAAACATTATTAATGACTTGGGACATGATTACAGCTCAAGCAGATTATTGTTGCCAATTCTTTTTAAGCCATAACAAGCTTTTGTAGACAATGAAGCTGTAAAACAAGCTGTGAAAATTAAGCTAACTTGTGCTTTGTTAACAGTCGGTATAGCATGTAGAAGCTTACATGTGTGAAAAACATGGCTAATTGCTAAGCATTATGGGAACCCAAAAAGCAAAATATTTTCCTTTTATTAGAATGGAGTATGTTCTGCTTTTTAAACAAAGACAAAGCAAGAAATGTCATACTATTCATTCATAATAAATGTGTTTACTGGTTATATCAGTGATATCAAACTGACAAATGTTCTGATTCGAATGCTTCTTCCAGCTTTGCACACAAAAATGCTAACTTGCTACAGGCCAGATAGTTTCATTGTTTTGCTACTATAAGTAGTATACAATGGATTTAAATATTAAGCAAACGATCTCTGCATCAGACCCTTTAGTGTAAAAAATAAGTAGGTTCTCACTTTCCAATCTCCCTTCATAAGTAATGACACAGTTGCCTTTGTTCTGATGGATTGAGGCAGTCCACTCAAACACAGATAACCAATTTTCATGAATAGATAATCCATGATTTCCGTGACATATGAGACTGAGGCCAATGGCCTCTACAAAATAATGGGGTTGATTTTATAGTAGTTGAGGCTTTTCATTTAGTAAAGTGTATGTTTACTTAGTAAAGTGAATGTTAGCAACTAATCTGAAAACATCCAACCAGGGAAATTAAAAAAAAACAGGAATTTTATTAGTTCGCAATTGGCTGATTGAAATGAACACAACTTTAGCTTACTTACTTAGCTCAGTGAATGTTCACTGATAACAGTCTCTGATCAATTACTAAATCAACCCCATGTTTCATTGTTCCTGCTTTTATGTAAACCAGAAGGGTTAGTTGTAGTGAACCCTTTCAGAGTTTCAAGTTGAAAAAACCTTTAAAATCTCACGTATAATAGGTGAGGTGAAACCCACTGCAAGGTTTTAAGCCTTACGTTAGCCATACATAATTAGATTCCTCATGCCAGCCTAATAGAAATCTAATAGATTCCTCCCTCCATTCTAAACAACATTAATGTATCAATCTCCCTGCCAGCTGTTATTTTCAGACAACAGGCACCCGCAGCTGTCTGAGTACCCCAGCAATTGCTGCATTTGATCAGCTGCAGTCACTGTTTGGCCAACAATCTTCTACCCAGCACCTTTGATTCATTTGAATTTTGTCATGCAGGGTGGTAATGTGGCTTTAGTTCATATGACCACTTTGAGCAACTTGAACTAATCATTACTACTTTAAACTTTGAAAGGGAAGCTTACTTTTGCTTTTCTAACTTACATCATTTTGGGTTCTCTATTTTTTTTCTATAGTCCTCACCTTTTTTATATGTATAATTAGTGTGTGAAACCTCTCCATAGCAATTGAGCTCTATATTGGTCCAGCATACAATTCAGGTGTTTGCATAGTATTCTCAGTGTTTCCTCCATGTATTCCTTTGATGTAATACCATTGTTTAGTTAATGATCTGTGACTTGCATTGACACAAACACACAAACATACACACCTAAATAGCTGTGGTAGAAATAGCCTTTAAGGCAGGCCATAGATGGGCCGTTTATCGGCCGAATTGTCGGCCGATAAACTAAAAATCGGTCGTCCCTGTTGCTGATGCTGCCACCAATGTCCACGAAAAACATCAATTTTTTCGTGGATTTTCCAGCATGACCGATAAAAATAAATGAGGAGATCCGCGAAAAATGGCCGACGGGCTGGCCCCACTAACGGCGTTATTATCGGATGATTTTTCGTGCAGACGAAAATTCGGCCGATAAACGACCCGTCTATGGCCTACATAACACAGCACTCCATAAGCTCTACTGATCATTTGCTTACAATGCAGACACCAAGTTTTGGTGTCTTAGTTTCTGTGACAATAATATAACATCTGGTTAACTAAATACTGTAACTGATTTAAGTTTTTAGAACCCCCTGTACTCTAGTCCTTAAATAAATATTCACCCTAATGACCACAAAAATATATACAGTACTTGTGTATTCTCACTATTATAAATACCAAATTTTGTGGAGCAACCCAACATAAACCAATCTTCAAACTAACCAACCTTCAAAGCACAATTCAAGTATCACTTAGGTAAAGTATAGTCCAACATAAATTATTACATGTAGAGGTACTATCTGAATATATCCATTGAGTACGAATTGGTCTGGGTCAAATCAGTTGATTTACTAAAGGCAAATAGGCTGTTCTATTTGCAAGGGACGTTGCACTTTGAATTTACCCTAGAGGTTACTGAATAAGATGAAGATCTGCCAACTTTCATCAAGCAATCATGTGCAAGAAAGATTGGTGTTTTTGACTTTCCTTGCACGTTACTGTTTGCAAAGTTAAACATCAGCACATTCACTAAGGTCTGGGGAAAATTATGGGGCTAATTCATTTTCCAAAGAATGCCCAATCGCGCGCAAGGAAAATAACAAATACAGCATTTTTGTTGCACATGGTTGGATGATGGAAGTCAGTAGACAGTAGTCACCTCATTCACAAAACTCTGGTGCAAATGTCTTTTCAAAGTGCAACTTCCCTTGAAAGTGAGCAACCTAATTGCCTTTAGTAAATCAACCCGAGTGAGTTGCTTAGATTGTATAACAAGTGGTTTCTGGGAGGTGGAGATGCAGGTTTACTAAATGCTCACTTTCATTGTTCTTATTCTAAAGTACAATAAATTGTGTGGCTTTAGACTCCTCTGTAAGTAGAAAATGTGTTTATTATTATTTTATATAAATTTTCAATTTGAAATGAGCTATCTTCTCCTGGCACTGCAATACCCAATATCTCCTTTTTATCACTGTAAAAATGTTTTATTGTAAAGGGGGAACCTGATTAAAATATAAAATGAGAGTTTAGCACCAAGTCTGCTGTTTGCTTTTTTGTATACATTAGGCCCTGTGCGCACTTATGTAACTGGGCATACCTGCAGTTGTCCCTGGCATTTATTCAGGTGCATTTGGCTTATCACACAGCACAGACCCCTTCTTTGCTTTTAAACCTCACCACCAAAAATGGTGTCTAAACTTCTATGTCTGTATTTTACATAAGTGCTAGATACATGTATTCATACTAAAAATATATGTATGTAAAGGGCCAACGTTAAGGTAAATTGATAGCCAGATCACTGTGTTAGGAACTATGTGGAAAGCTCCTCTAAGTACAAATCATAGTAAAAAGAATAGAGTGGCATGAAAATTCTTTTATTTATGGTCATCTTTGGATAATGTCCTCACTTGTCTGGCAAAGAAAATCATCGGATAGTCTAGAAGAGAGATCTGGACACTGGAAGTGCATTTCAGCCTAAATGATAATGATGATCATCATATATTCAACACTTATACTGCCTGCGTATCAAATGTCTGTTCTTCTTTAATGGCTTCCTATCTGCCCTATAGCAGAGTACTGCTACAAGGCAGCACGGGTGAACAAAATCACGTATATATACGTGATTTTGCATTTCCAGGCAGGGGGCATGTGCCCTACCCTCACCGCCATTCGTGGCCTCGGCTGTCAATCCCCGGCTCCCGGCAGGTGATTACTTGCCGGCGCCCAGTGATTGCTGAGCATCTCCGATGCGAGGGAGAACTGTTTGCTGCTTACAGTGAAACACACACACAGGACATGATGTAAAACGGCACACAGCACATAGCTAACCCTTTGATCTCCCCAGGTGTTAACCTCTTCCTGCCCAGTGCCATTAGGACAGTGTCAGTGCTTTTTATTAGCACTGATGATTGTATTGATGTCACTGGGGATTGTCAGTGACTCCAAGTCAGTTCCCCCCAGTGTCAGAATAGCAGTCCTGCTATAAGTTGCTGATCGCCACCATTACTAGTAAAAATAAAAAATAAAAAAAATACCAGTATATATACCGCCATTTAAAAAATGCTAAAACTTTCACGTAAACCAATTAATTTACATGTATTGGGATTTTTTTTTGGCAAAGACATGTAGCAGAATAAATTGTGGCCTAAATTTATGATGAAATTTGTTTTTTACATTTTTGTACTAGACATGTTTAATAGCAAAAAGTCAAAAATCTAGTTTTTTTTTTTAAATTGTCGGTCTTCTTTTTTTCATAGCACAAAAAATAAAAAACACTGAGGTGATCAAATACCACCAAAAGAAATCTCTATTTGCGGGGAAAAAAGGACGTAAATTTTATTTGGCTGCAGCATTGCATAACCGCGCAATTGTCAGTTAAAATAATGCAGTGCCGTATCACAAAAAATGGCTTGGTCACGAAGGGGGGTAAATCCTCTTGAGGGCAAGTGGTTAAGGAGAAGCTATTTGATAGCAACAGTATGCAGATTAAATATTTAAACTTTATGAAGGTAATTGCTTTTAAATGTTTTTTTAAGCTACCACCCTAAACATTGGTATCACAGACCTGTACCTGGGATACATGCATGATAAAACGTGGGAAATAGATTAGGAAAATTAGAATACTGGTTAACATGATCATCACTCCTGTTCAGTGTCACCTTTCGTCAGTCTTGTGCTGTGGTCTTTAATCTTTTTCCTTAAGGTGCCCTGAAGTGCCATAGCCAGTCTTCATTGATTTTACCAGAACTGTGAAGCCAGAGGTTGGGGATAGGGTGCAGGCAAAGACATTTAAATAGAAAATATAAATTATTTTTGACAGTAAAGCAATACTGTCAGAGAGCTGAGCAGAAGTCCTGTGTCACTATTAGA